ACTCCACCTGTCTAAAGTATTGCACATGCCACGAAAAAGTGATGCCAGGTCATACGAAGTGCTGCACGTGTCACGCACTCCAAAATGCAACCCATCTCAGGAAATCAGCGCCAGCTCTGATGAACATGTCTCTTGTACTGCTCCTGCCACGGAAAATGCATCTTTGCAGATCCTCTTCAAATGTCCCACGCCTGCCATCGTTAATGCTACAAAACCTGCACGTTTTGCTCACTTTTAGCAGGGTGCAAAATCCCTTGTGCTGCCACGCGAAACGACACTTCAACGTCCAAAAATGGCACGAACATGTAGTTTTTTGCATTCTGACTTCGAAACGTGCTTCGCACCACAACGGCGTGCACTTTTTCGACATCTGAACTCCCAAAAGTGGTCCGAACATGCTGTGTTTTGTACATTGTGACTTCGGAAGGTGCTTCGCGCCATAACAGCATGCACTTTTTTGACATCTCAACTTCTAGAAGCAGTGTCGCGTGGTATAGTGTAGTGTAGTCTAGTGTAGTGTAGTGTAGTCTAAAGTAGTGTAGTTGTAGTTGTAGTGTAGTGTAACTAGTGTAGCGTAGTGCAATGCAGTGGTAGTTGTAATTGTGGTTGCAGTTGGAGTTGTAGATGTAGTGTAATGTAATTCAAGTATTGTAGTGTAGTGTTGTGTAATATAGTGTCGTAGTTGTAGTTGTATGTAAATTTGTAGTTGTAGTAGTGTGCCGGAGTGTAATTAGTGTAGTGCAGTGTAATGTAGCGTAGTTGTAATTGTAGTTGTAGATTTGGTGGTAGTGGTGGTGGTGGTGGTGGTGGTGAAAGTAGTAGTAGTAGTAGTAGTAGTAGTAGTAGTAGTAGTGGTAGTAGTAGTAGTAGTAGTTGCTGTTGTTGTTGTTGTTCTTGCTGTAGTAGGTGTAGTTGTAGTTGCAGTTGCAGTTGTAGTTGCAGTTGTAGTTGTAGTTGTCTGTGTATCTACCGACCTAATCTATCTATCTATCTACCTATCTGTCTATCTGTCTACCTGTCTATCTGTCTAATTATCTGTCTATCTGTCTATCTGTTTATCTGGTTAGCTGTCTGTCTATCTGTCTATCTGTCTATCTGTCTATCTGCAAGCTTGAAAACGCAGCTATTTTGCGAGACTTCCTCAATTTTTGAACTTGACAACGTCAAAAACGAAACAGTTCTGCGAGACTTCCTCAATTTTTGAACTTGACAACGTCAAAAACGAAACAATTCTGCAAGACTTCCTCATGTTTTTAAGTTGACAACATCAAAAACGAAGCAATTCTGCGAGACTTCCTTCCAAAATGGAAAGTTGAGTGCAGAGCTGACGGCCTCGTACCAGTCCGTTTTTCGATTTTTCCACTCCACCTGTCTAAAGTATTGCACATGCTGCTTCGCGCCACAACGGCGTAAACTTTTCGTCTCTCATCTGACCACATGGCTCCGCACCCGCTGCTTTAGCGAGCCTACTTTTCGACCCTGCAGAGCCACAAATCAATGAAAAAACACTGTGTTTCGTGACTTTCCTCAGAGACTTTCTCTTTTTGATCTTCTTTCTTCTTCTCTTCTCTTCTCTTCTCTTCTTTTCTCTTCTCTTCTCTGCTCTGCTCTTCTCTTCTCTGACTCTTCCCATCTGCTTTTCATCTGTCCATATTGTCGGAAGTTTGACTTCTAAACTTCCTGCAAAAACTTATAAATAATAACGGTATTATTATACACACAAATGTATCTATCTAATCTACCTATCTATCTATCTATCTGTCTGTCTATCCATCTATCAATCTATCGATCGATCGATCTATCTATCTATCTATCCATCCATCCATGTCTATCTATCTGTCTATCTATCTATCTACCTATCTACCTATCTACCTATCTACCTATCTACCTATCTATCTATCTATCTATCTGTCTATCTATCTATCTATCTATCTATCCTATCTATCCTATTTATCCTATTTATCCTATCTATCCTATCTATCCTATCTATCCTATCTATCCTATCTATCCTATCCTATCCTATCCTATCCTATCTATCTATCTATCTATCTATCTATGTGCGCATATAGATCTGTATTTATATGTACTTACATATATATATAGATGTAACTATGTATCAGTAAAATATTGTGTTGTTGCCTGGGCCTTGTTGTTGCCTTGTTTTGCGTCGTTTGATGGTTCAATCCTTTGCCCGTCGCGCGCCAATGCATAATCTGAGGTAGTAACATCGCAGGCAGTACAGCAACATTTGTCCGTAAAATGTGGACAGAGCGGAAACTCGGACAAAAATCAAAGCATGTCAGCACGTCAAGTTATTTGAAGTTTTGACAGTAGTTGAATGATGCTGAATCACATGGAAACCTTGACTCAAGCTGAGTCAAATTGAATAGATTTGAATGGAATTGAATCAAACGGAATCAACGTAAATCAAACTGACTCGAGTTGAATCAGTCTGAATCAAACTGAATGCCTCGAAGAAAGGGTGACTTTGATTTGTTTCGAGTTGTCTTGTTCCGTAGACAGGTGATTTGGCCACGATTCGTGAGTTCATGTTGAACGAGAGCTTGTCGGAGTCGTATCAGTTCTACTACGACTTCCGGCAAAAGATCAAGTCAACGCCCGACAAAACTCAACAGCTAGCGGCCCGACTGACACTCGGCAGAAACCTTGAGACCAAATTAATGATATGTTACAAGTGGATTACTAGTTGATTCAGTGGTTTTTGTTGATTCCTCACGTTCCTTACTTTCCTCACTTTCTTCCCTTGCTCTTCTTGTGTTGCCTTCTCTTCCCTTTGTGCTAGGTTGGTGCTTCTTGTTAGCCACAAACCGTTCTTATTTGGCCCGTCAGCCCCGATCAGCGCTCAGGACCTCTGTTTTGTCCGAGACCAACGCTGTCAATAACATGAGGACCTAAGAGGGTCCTGATGCCGGTCTGAGACGTTTGGGAACCTGATCCAATTCGTTTTTTCTAATCTTAACACGTTTTTTCCAGATCTTTCCCCATCATATTTTTTGATCTTTTTGTATGATTTTTGTGCCCTGAGAGAGATTGGCAGTTGCGGCAGTATTAGATGTTATTGTTTTTTCAGGGGCCTTGATGAGCGATCTGCCAAAGTTGGGCAAAAATGCAAGCAGCAGCTGAAAGAGATGAAGAAGGACACCATGAAGAGTTTCATGGCCTAAACACCTAAACTGCCTGAGAGAAAAGAAGTGGAATGGGACACGCTTCATTCGTTGTACACACATAAACTGTATATACACATGTATGTATATATATATATTATATATATATATGTAGCAGCATTATATATATATATATTATGTGTGTGTACTGATACCGATATTATTTGATATTTGCCTTTTACATTTGAAGGTATTTTCTTATTTGTGTTTTTGTTTGTGAATTAACTTATTTTTTTTTGATGGATTTACCGATTTACTTGTTCACCTACACATCACAGACGTATATATGTCGGTACATCATATTCAACTTCGATGCGGTGTTGCTTCGTTGGAGATGAACAAACTCAGTCAGCAGGTGGTTTCTGCATTCTGCATAATCATAAGGTTTACTCCCGCTTTGCCGATCGAGCACTTTGGACATGCTTGCAGAGAAGGTCCAGACAGGGAAGTCAGAAGGGGAAGTGGAGACCTGACTGCTATGGCTGTCAACAGGATCAAACAGGATCAAACAGGATCAAACAGGATCAAACAGGATCACAGAATGAGTCTAGCAGTTCAGGTTTCATTCTTGAAGCTCATAGTCCTTGGGAATATGCTGAATTCTGCTTACAAAATTATCGTTAGAAGGCGACACTCCTAAGAACGGAATTCAAGAATCAAGATCCTTTGTTCAAGACGTGAAGCCGTACGGTTTTGGAAGATCAAGCTGAATCCAAAAGCTGAAGATGGCATGGTTCAAAAACAGTTGTACTTGCTTCGTCCAAATCATCCAAACATTCCAAGCTCACTGTGTACCTTCTTGAACTTCTTGCTGAATCCCCGTCGCCATGATGGTGATTCTTTGTTCGCTAAGAGCGAATTGTGATCTTTTGCGGATCTGTTCCACTGAGGAAGCTGCACTGACATACCTCCAGGCGCAGGGATTTGCTCGGACAGTGGTCAAATCTGGGTTTGGATTTTTTTTCCTTCTGCACATTCCCAATCGACCAACATCGACTTCAACCCACATCGAGTACCAGGAGTACCATGAACTGTGACAGGCAATCATGGGTGGCGTTGAAGTGATGAGCGAACTCCTCCAGTGCTATGGCGAGCATAAAGCAGTCACGCAACTTGGTGAGACTTGGGGAAAGCTTGGGCAAAGAGCAGTCGCAAAGGTACAGTCTGGGCAACTCAAAGATGCCGGACTTCAGCAGAAGTGTAGACTTGGTATCGGCGTAGGTCCGGAAAAAATGGTGCAGAGTTCTGCAGACAGTTCGAAAACTTGTTCAGACAGAAGACGCTCAGAGCTGGACGGTTCAGGCAGGTTCGCAAGCTCTGCAGCTTGAAGCTCGAACAAATCCGTGCGATGGACTTTAGCAGCTTTGCTCGCACTTGGCAGGTTTACCTCTACTGGAACCATAGACATGAAAGCAAAACGTCAGAAGAGTGGAGAAATGGGTTTGAAGGTTGTGGGGTTTATATATGCACACTGTGGTAGTGTGGAGACATCAAGGACACACACATTTGTTGGGACCAACACTATCCAAGGAATGCCTTTTTCGCTGAACGACAAGTGAGTTCCGTTAATGGACCAGATTTGACGACCCGTTGTGGCGATGGATAGCAGCGTTGGAACAATGGGAGAGCCTGGTCGCTGACATAGCGCAGGAGAAAAAATATCTCGAAAGGTAGCGGTGAGCTACCTGAGTTCCCCCTTGCGTAGCAAGTATTAGGGGGCGAGCGGTGCAAGTGCAAGAGTTTGGGCCGGTTATGTCTCGGTCCGCCTTTCAAGGGGGGGGGGCCCCCCCCCCACCCTTCGATTCCCCCCAGGTCCGCCTCTAAAGCCGGGTTTGCAACATAGGCGGACTACAAGGAAACGCCAACAGCCGCACATGCACTTTCATCCACCACGTTTACATACATCCCCACCCCAACCGAAGTCAAGACCCGCACTGAAACTCGACAATGTCAGATTGCTCAAGAACTTTGTTTTGTTCACCCTAACAACCGCGATGAACAATGTCGTAGCAAGAACGTTGCGACGGACTGCGTTGCAGTAGTCTCAAAAATCGTACATGATATACCAGTAGTACCGCACAAGGCGGTGGCGGAAGTTTCAAAAATAGGAAACCTATAGGAGAGATTGGTTGTTGTGAATCAGAGATGGCAGAGCGAAGCCACTGCTGGACTGAAAGGCGATTGATCTCTCTCACTCTTGTCTACCTGTCTATCTATCTATCATATCTATCTATCTATCTATCTATCTATCCATCTATCCATCTATCCATCTATCCATCTATCCATCTATCCATCTATCCATCTATTTCTCCCTCTATCTATCTATTTCTCCCTCTATCTATCTATCGATCTATCGATCTATCGATCTATCTATCTATCTATCTATCGATCTATCGATCTATCGATCTATCGATCTATCGATCTATCCCTCTATCTATCTATCTATCTTACTATTTATCTATCTATCTATCTATCTATCTTATCTATCCTATCTATCCTATCTATCCTATCTATCCTATCTATCCTATCTATCCTATCTATCCTATCTATCCTATCTATCCTATCTATCCTATCTATCCTATCTATCCTATCTATCCTATCTTATCTATCCTATCTATCCTATCTATCCATCCTATCTATCCTATCTATCCTATCTATCCTATCTATCCTATCTATCCTATCTATCCTATCTATCCTATCTATCCTATCTATCATATCTATCCTATCTATCATATCTATCATATCTATCATATCTATCATATCTATCATATCTATCAATCTATCAATCTATCAATCTATCAATCTATCAATCTATCTATCTATCTATCTATCATATCTATCATATCAATCATATCAATCAATCAATCAATCAATCTATCTATCTATCTTTCTATCTTATCTATCTATCTGTCTAGCTGTCTACCTGTCTATCTTTTGTGCAGTGTCATTCAGTGTAATGTAGTGTAGTGTAATGTAGTGGAGTGTAGTTGTAGTTGTAGGTGGTAGTGGAGTGTAGTGTAGAGTAGTGTCGTGAAGTGTAGCGGCAGGTAGTGTAGTGTAGTGTAATGTAGTGTAGTGTAGTGGAGTCTAGTGTAGTGTAACGTAGTGTAGTGTAAGGTAGTGTAGTGTAGTGGAGTGTAGTTGTGTAGTTTTAGTTGTAGTGTTGTGGAGTGTAGTGTAGTGTAAGGTAGTGTAGTGTAGTTTAATGTTGTGTAGTGGAGTGTAGTGGAGTGTAGTTGGGTAGGTGTAGTTGTATTTGTAGTGTAGTGGAGTGTAGTTGGGTAGGTGTAGTTGTATTTGTAGTGTAGTGGAGTGTAGTGTAGTGTAATGTAGTGAAGTGTAGTGTAGAGAGTGTAGTGCAGTGTAATTTAGTGTAGTGGACTGTAGTGGACTGTAGTTGTGTAGTTGTAGTTGTAACCTGTAGTGTTGTGAAGTGTAGTGTAATGTAGTGTAATGTAGTGTAGTGCAGCAAAGTGTAGTGTCATGTAGTGTAGTCGAGTTAAGCGAAGCAACATCTGAACCGCCAAAAGTGGTCCGAAACCCTAGTGTTTTTAACATGTTAACTTCCAAATCTGCTTCGCGCCACAACGGCGTGCACTTTTCGAAACTCGACATCTCAGCCTCCAAAAGTGGTCCGAACATGGTGTGGTTTGTACATTTTGACTTCGAAATGTGCTTCGCGCCACAGCGGCGTGCACTTTTTCGAAACTCGACCTCTGAGCCTCCAAAAGTGGTTCGAACCCCTGGTGTTTTGCACATTTTGACTTCGAAATGTGCTTCGTGCCACAACGGCGTGCACTTTTTTCGAAACTCGACCTCTGAGCCTCCAAAAGTGGTCCGAACCCCTAGTGTTTTTAACATTTTGACTTGGAAATGTGCTTCGCGCCACAACGGCGTGCACTTTTTCGACATCTTAAGTGCCAAAAGTGGTCCGCACTTGGTGTGTTTTCTACATTTTGACTTGGACATATGCTTCGCGCCACAACGGTGTGCACTTTTTCGACATCGCAACTTCCAAAAGTGGTCAGACCCTGGTGTGTTTTGTACATTTTGACTTGGGGATGTGCTTCGCGCCACAACGGCGTGCACTTTTTCGACATCTGGAGCGCCAAAAGTGGTCCGATCCTCTGGTGTTTTGTGCATTTTGACTTGGAAATGTGCTTCGCGCCACAATGGCGTGCAATTTTTCATGTCTCATCTCCCCATATGTCTCCGCACCCGCCGCTTTAGCGAGCCTACTTTTCGACCCTCCGGAACCACAAATCATTGGAAAAACACAGTGACTCGCGACTTTCCTACCTTTTCGCGCATCTGCATCTTCTTTCTTCTGACTCTTTCTCTTCTGAACTTTCTCTTCTCTCTGCCTCTGCCCTGCTCTGCTTTTCATCTGTCCATATTGTCGGAAGTTTAGCTTCTCAACTTCCTTTGACAATATAGTTAAAGACATGTATCTATATATATATATACACATAATAATTCCATGATATATATATATATACTAAATAATCTCAATATACATATAGATTCGTATATATATATATATGCATACTCTACCCAGCAATTGTGGGATATTGCGCTTTGGCTAGTGGTTGCCGAAGCATAATCGCTGCCCCTTGCTCAGCATATCTAGATCATTTGGTGGATTTTCCGCAAGGGTTCCTCCAAGATATTCTCTTCAACCAAAAGACTTCGCTAATGACATTTCAATATGTTTCATATATATGTATATTCGTATATATATAGTTATCATGTATAATAACTAGAACACCTATAATGACTAGAATTACTATAATAACTAGAACATAATTATCACATCTAATCCCTTCCTCCTAATACTAAACCCCCCCCCCCCTAATACAAAACACGGCAGGTAGTTTTTAGTATTAGGG